AACGACTCACGTGCTCGACTCAATTGTCAGTCTCTCTCTGTCTGCAGATCAATTACATTGTTGCCGTCACTTCTTCACGGTCTTATATACAAGAATACTGCATATCTAGTAAACACTCGAGACTTCACAAAGGGGCATGAACGTTCTAGAAGCACATGACATGCTACCAGCGTCACGTGACTTCCGCTGTTGTAACAGTATCTAAGGTTTTATGATGTTGTAGTTAAGCCTAGAGATTTCTGAACATATCCAAGCACTTTACTGATAACGTTAACTACATCTGTTTGGTTTTCCATCTCACTAATTACTGCTTTAGGTTCTTTGCTAAATATTTTGAAGAATGAAGTAATTGAAACTTGTCCTTGTTTCTTACACATTTCACACAAATACTGTAAGTGCAGCCTAGTCAATTATTACTTATGATACACACCATCTCAGCTTATATACTATTTGTTTACTGTTTCTACAACCTTCAGAGTATTTCTGATTTCTTGATATGACTGCTTTAATTTCACCTACTAGAATTCTTGAAGCATCAAAGGCACATATGAAATATGCCATTGATTAGCTACTTCATTGCCATGTAGTATGCCCAAGGGTACCTGCAGGGAGGGGCAAAAGGGGACATTTGCCCCCTTACATTTCACAAAAAATTGCGCGCATGATGATGTAAACTTATCATATTTAAACTAAAAATTTTTAATAATCTTTATCAAAAACTGTAAATTTGTGTTTGCATTTAAGCACATATAAAACATATTATTTTAGTTTGTTGACTTACACTGTAAAAGCCGATACCCTACATACATGTTTTGCCCTTAAAAGACATGCCTGATTTCACACCTTACTTACTGCTAGTTATATTTAAAAAACACAAACTATTTCAGACTTAAAATAATGGTAAGCAGGGATTTTTAAATCTTTACAGTAATTAAAATAATTGTGATATGCTGTTAAATGTTAGTATGCAAGACTTCATTGTTCAGTTTTAGATTTTAAAAGTTTATAAGACTGATTGAATAGGAATACAAAGAGGATCTATTTCCTTCTCCTGGTTCTCACCCTATGTACAACAGAAGGAACCCACTGTCCCTACAGTCTCCCCCCCCCCAAAAAAAAACAAATTGTCTTTTGATGCTTGAAAAGTGCTCTTTTTTATCAATGAACCCTGCCCTTTTAATGTTCTTTGCAAATTACTGGTATACCTACTTAGGAAATCCTTAGAAAAAATATACAACATATCAGGTTTTTTAGTATTTTAGCTAATTTTATCTGTATAGTAGAACACAGTAAGCAATAAATTTCAAGTAATTGAAGCCTGAGATCGAATGATAGAACTGTATACTTACAATATATAGGTAAGGACTCCAACTGCCCACACATCAGTAGCTGTGCTAACTTCTTCTTTTTTTACTATTTCTGGAGCTGTTTGGTGGGTAAAAAAGTATTTGAAATACAAAGATCTCATAAAACAACTGAGAAAGTAATATACATAGTACAGTATTATATATTAAAAAATACACAAGACCATGACAGGTTACCTACAGACTGCACAAAGCAACATTGTACGAAATATTTCAGTTTTCATATTTAAAAAAGGTTTAAACACCTTAAGATAACAATTAATCATCAGGTTAATTACTTAAATGGAGTTATATAAGATTAATTACTTAAATAAAATTATATAAAAGTTTTATTGGTTCATAATACATCTAAAAGATGCTTGCTTATTAATATAACACAACATACATATTATTATTATTTTTTGATTGAAACAAAAACTTACCCAAGTATTCAACTTTTCCTTTAACATCAATCTTTTTTCCAGTTTTTGGAACATAACTGGCTGACCCCAAATCAACCAGTTTAATATCTGGTCGTCGATGGTTAATCATGACAACATTATCTGGCTGTATTTCTAAGCAACATATTCCTCGGAAGTGGAGATACTCTATGGCATTCAGTACCTAAAGATTGAGATGGTGAATTCATATTTGCATTTTAACATGGGATGTTGAACCCCATGTTTTAGTGTTTACGTCCATAAACCTACCAATGACTCATCACAGGGACAACTCTGAGGGTTATTGCAATGTAATTGAAATGGCTGTAGCTAACTACAGGAAAAGTCACATTTAATTTTATATTAAATTCTAATATTTTATAAAACTAAAGAATCTTTACCAACAAGTTTCTCAAAATTTTCAGCTTCTTTAACTTTGAAATCTCATTTTAAGCAATATTTGTAAATCAATCCAACTCTGGATGTTTATATCATTGTAATAATTTTAGAATAAATAAAAACTAAAATTTTGTGAAATACATTATTTCTTCTTTAGGAATACAAGATTAAAAAATAACCATCCTAAAGTTATAATTTTCCTACACTGAAAATGTATTTGCAATAGGTACTTACCTGGTCTCACATAAATAGCTATTCTCTTCAGTGCTGCCCTCTATGTGCAATTGTTTTTAATACATGCCACAAGCCTTCTATCTCCCCTCCATTGAAATTGACTGATTCAATGCTTCTCTCATGCAAATCATCATGGGTAAACCCTCCACCAATAAGAGTGTGACATACTCTCATGATGCATGTGACTCCCTCTACTCAAATCTACAGAAGTATCACTTTGAGGTTTGGCAGAAAATTGAAGCACCAGTTTTCATTGTGGAGGAAGGGTGGGAAGTGTGAGCGGAAGTAAGTACCTATCGGAAATACATTTTCAGTATAGGTAAATTATAACTTCCGATACGATACATTACCTCCACTCACATAAATTGCTAGAATCCCACATTGAATAGGTGGAGGGAGCAGTGTGAGGAAAAGAAGCATCCTTTAAAACTGTTTGATGGACATTTCCCTAAGATGAGACAGTCAGATTCTAAGATCTGATATGGGGAACTGCACCACTTCTGAACCAGGCATACTCTTTGTTCATTAGAGAAAGATGTCGCACATATGGGTGGAAAACAGAGGAGCACATCCAAGTGGGAGAGAACTAAGGTCAGATAGTGATCCGAACAATATACTATTTATGCAACTATCCCAGAATATATAAAAGTGGGTAAAATTAAAAGGATGTGTCCTAGGTGTAGAGTGGTTAGGGCTTAACATACATAACATAACAGAAATCATGTAGAAAATTGCAGTAATAGACCTAGCTGATTCTGCAGGAGAGGTAGGGAAAACACAGCAAAATCCAGTGGTGTAAAAAAGGCTATCAAATCTTTATCGGCCTAATAGACCTAGCTGATTCTGCAGGAGAGGTAGGGAAAACACGGCAAAATCTGGTGGTGTAAAAAAGGCTATCAAATCTTTATCGGCCTAATAGACCTAGCTGATTCTGCAGGAGAGGTAGGGAAAACACGGCAAAATCTGGTGGTGTAAAAAAGGCTATCAAATCTTTATCGGCCTGAAATGTTTCAACTTGTTCAGGAAGATTAGTGGTTTACCCATATAACAATCAATCTCATGATGGATAATAGCAGAAAAATCCAATGACGGGTCCCCTCCACCTGCAGCCTGTGAAAATATTGCTAAAGATATTACGCCCAATTTGGGAATAAGAACCTTAGAATTCATTGTAGAACTATGTAAATCAAACAAAATATGAAAGTGTGAGAAAAAATAATAAAGTCAGGGAAATTCAGTTAAATTAAAATATTTCTTCAAATGTAAAGAAAAAAAATAATAATGAAAAAATCCCATTTCCGCAAATAAGCTATTAAAATAACAATACACACAAAGAGCACCAAAAGAAAAAACATCTGAACAGGAGTACTGCCAAATGAGAAGTGATTATTCAGTAGAATTGAATAGAGGGAGCCACATGCATCATGATAGTATGTTTGCACTCTTATTGGTGGAGGGTTGACACATGATGATTTGTATGAGAGATGCATTAGAATCAGTAAATTACAACAGAGGAGAGATAGAAGGCATGTGTAAAATTATTTTTTGCACATAGAGAATAGCTATTTATGTGGGTGGAAGTAATGTGTACCATATTGGAATGGAATTTCTTACCTGTGTGATGATTTTTGCAACTGTGTCTTCACTATATTCATGATGAGACGTAAGATAGGTAAGGATGTCTATACCAGAGAGTTTTTCCATTACAAGGATAGTAAGCTCATTCTTACGGCTAGCAGCTTCCAAGGATGCAATACGTTCATGTCTCAAAGATTTAAGAATATCATACTCTTGTAGAACATCTGACTCATTCTCACTGCTAGTGTGGATAACTTTGCCTACAAGTGTTTTTCCCATTTCCTTTACCCAGATTTTCACAACAACAGAAAACCTTCCTCTGTTGGAAAATTAAAAATTAATTTATTTCAGTTAGGCTTAGTAGTTATAGGAAAATGTCAGAGTACGCGAGGTTGATAATTATATTTCAGAGTAATAATATTTCATTTGTTGGATGAATTTTACAACCTTTTTTATTATATTACAAAACATTTGGAAAATGGTACAAACTGTATCAGGAATCTAGTAATTATCTATTACAAACTCTTAAATAGCCTATATATTATACATGATAAATATAAACAAATTTTCCATATTTCATTATTAAATGCTACAGTTAGAAGTTAGTGAAGCACATATACCTGGCTATCTCAGCAACAAAGTTGTACATTTCCATAGGATCTCTGTCAATCATAGGAATTGGATTTTGTTCAATATTGTAGTCTAAATCAGAAACATCGAACTCATTCATTTCAATTTCATGGCCTCTCTCAGTCATTTCTTGACGATATTTACGAGCTTTAGTTATTTTGACTTTAGGAGCACCTGAATAAAGTAAATAAAGGATGATACAATTCTGTTATATCATTATATCATCTGTTATATCATTAAATAATGTTTGCTAAACTAGACATTGGAATTTAGACATAAATCTTGTAACTGATAGTATTAACGTTGAATAGCTTAAGATTACCATCAATAATGCATTAATTGACTTACTGATAAGTGATGTTGTAAGTGTAAAATTATTTTTATGCTATTGTATTCTAAGTATAACTGTCCTGTAAAATGTATGCAAATCCTACTGAAGCTATCACAAGACCTTACTTATCACATTTTATTAAGTAGATGAATGACAAATGCTAGAACATTCAAACAGAAACTTTCTCAACTATTAATGCAATTTCATTTGAAATCATTATAGCTACTAAATCGTACAGTACTCACAAATTGCATGTGCAAACAGGTATATGTATGGAAAACATTAAATTATAATCACAAAGTCTTCATTAAAAACTCTTCATGCTGGGGTGTGAACTACTTAGTCATTGGCACTGACCAAAGAAATAGCCAGCAATGCCTTCCTGTGGATAGCCATTGAACATATACAGTAAGAGTTTGAAAGGTTAGTAAAGCAAATAAATATCATCTTCAATATAAATTGGTTGTGTAAAAATATGGATCATTAACTTTGTAAACTAACTATTGATGTTCAACTAAAAATCAGAAATTTTCCATAAACTTCCAAAGCTGATATAATGTCTTTCATTATCCCATACCAAAAGATTTTTAAAAGAACTATGATGTTCATTAGCATGTGAAACTGAGCAATATAAAACATAATTAGGGCCACTGGCTCAAAAAAATATACTTTTAAAAGTTGAATAGTTAAACTTTCTACTTCATGAAATTACTTTGTTACTAACTTACTTAACCATTTTTGAATATTACTATTATTTTAAATTTTTTCTTATAATTGAAAAAGAGTAAATGTTACCTTTTGAAAATAAATGTTTAGCATTTATCAACAGAAAGATCTGACAATAAAAGAAAATAAAAATTTGCAAATAAATTACTTAAAAATGCTTGTATAAATGTGTGAAGAACTAAATACTGTGATGGATTATTAGTGGTGAAAGGGACAGGATATTTTGTAGCGGATTTATTATTATATATTTATTTTAATATCAACATTTGTTTAGATTAAGTTTATATTTAGAAATATGCATAGCTTATAATGTTAAATATGTATTGCAAAACTACCACCTATTCTTTAGTTTTAGAAGATTCTTGAGTGTAAGAAGCAACAATATATGTATGTGTATGTAAACAATAGTGTTAGCATCAGTACTGTTACATTACTAACAATAGTGCTAGCATCAGTATTGTTACATTACTAACAATAGTGTTAGCATCAGTATTGTTACATTACTAACAATAGTGTTAGCATCAGTATTGTTACATTACTAACAATAGTGTTAGCATCAGTATTGTTACATTACTAACAATAGTGTTAGCATCAGTATTATTACATTACTGTTACATTACTAACAATAGTGTTAGCATCAGTACTGTTACATTACTAACAATAGTGTTAGCATCAGTACTGTTACATTATAAACAATAGTGTTAGCATCAGTACTGTTACACTACTAACAATAGTGTTAGCATCAGTATTGTTACATTACTAACAATAGTGTTAGCATCAGTATTGTTACATTACTAACAATAGTGTTAGCATCAGTACTGTTACATTATAAACGATAGTGTTAGCATCAGTACTGTTACATTACTAACAACAGTGTTAGCATCAGTATTGTTACATTACTGTTACATTACTAACAATAGTGTTAGCATCAGTACTGTTACATTACTATTACATTACTAACAATAGTGTTAGCATCAGTACTGTTACATTATAAACAATAGTGTTAACATCAGTACTGTTACATTATAAACAATAGTGTTAGCATCAGTACTGTTACATTATAAATGATAGTGTTAGCATCAGTACTGTTACATTACTAACAATAGTGTTTGCATCAGTACTGTTACATTACTAACAATAGTGTTAGCATCAGTATTGTTACATTACTAACAATAGTGTTAGCATCAGTACTGTTACATTACTAACAATAGTGTAATTGTCAGTACTGTTACATTACTAACAATAGTGTTAGCATCAGTACTGTTACATTACTAACAATAGTGTTAGCATCAGTACTGTTACATTATAAACAATAGTGTTAACATCAGTACTGTCACATTATAAACAATAGAGTACTGATGTTAACAGTTACATTATAAACAATAGTGTTAACATCAGTACTGTTACCTTATAAACAATAGTGTTAACATCAGTACTGTTACATTACTAACAATAGTGTTAACATCAGTACTGTTACATTATAAACAATAGTGTTAGCATCAGTACTGTTACATTATAAACAATAGTGTTAGCATCAGTACTGTTACATTATAAACAATAGTGTTAACATCAGTACTGTTACATTATCTGAATTTGAGAAACTCTCCACACGTCTATAAATATAACGAACGCGATGAGGCAAAAAAAACAGTATCTATTATTGGTTTGCTATAGTTGGTGTGGTATAAACTTCGGAAGTTATAACTGTGATTGTTATAATGCTTATTAATTGGGAAACTTAAAAAATTTGACCAGGAACATTTATAAATTTCGATCATTTTAAACCATTCAATTTCAGTGGATTCACATCGGACATTAGTACTTTTACGAAAACATTACCTAACGTCGTCGGTGAAAATTCGACCTGTAATCGATGTGTGATCAGCAAGAACTACAGGGCTAGCTATCTCTCTGTTAAGTGAATTATACCTATGTCAACTTGAAATTAACTCACTCATCATCAACCCTTGACAAGATATCAAGGAAATTCCAGACTCAAAATAGGACTTTATATTGCTTGTAAGTTTGTAAAACTTTTCTATATAACTCATTGTTTGTAATAACTATTATTGTATATTGTATGATTGGATGTGCATTAAAATAGATTTGTGTTAAAAAGGAAAAACAGTATGTATCAATCTTGTTGGCAAATACCATAAACTGGCTATATATTGGCATTTATTTAACAACTAAATCCAAAGTATAATTTAACAACTAAATTTGAATTATCATTTAGCTCAATTTCAGACCATTTGAAAATTGTAATACGTAACAATACATATTTATTAATCCTAAAAAACAAAAAGTTAAAAAATATAAAAGAAGTCTAAAACAGAAAGTAGTAAAAACTGAAAGTGTTTCTTTAGCTTTTGAGTTTCTAAATCTTGCATTGTGTTTGAAATGGATATGCACATCTTTATAATGATAACAAAATGTGTGTATTTTAATCCAACACTCCCACGCTGTTTTGGATGTGGATAATCCCCAAATGTTAGGGTGACATTTTACCCAATGTAACGTTTAGATAGCTAAAACCTGACAAAACTGGTACATTCATCTTGAATCTACGATTAAATCCTCCTCTTCATTAGTGATTTTCTAATTGAGAAAGATTATTTTCTGAGGTATTTATAAAAATGATATTTAGACCTATATTATTAATTTGTTCATGGTAAAACTAAGCATGGTTGAGTTTGAAATAGGATCTTGACTTATTATTTGTACTCTTAAATAACAATGGGAATAAAAGCTACAAAAAATGTGTTCTCTCACGTTAATTATATTTTATTTTATATTCTCTGATCTTTTGACTGGCTACTTGTAAAACATTCCTGAATGTAAAATAAATGTTTAAATGCACTTAATTAGCAAGATACAAATTCTCTCAAGGAACTAATGGGTAAAATAGTTTCATAAACTTGGGATATTTTCTATAAGTTATACAAATGTGATAAAGAATTACATTTTTACAGTTTCAGATTACCTTCAACGTCATAATCTACCTAGAAAAATACATCTATTCATTTGTCTTGACAACTGCAAAAAATACAAGTAATAACATATGCACTTGTGTTGAAATATAACTAAATTTACAAATAACATACATGACCTGCTAAAACTAAACATGCAAGATGGACATAAGAAGTACGTAATAGTAAACACAGATCAACGTTTCTTTCTGTCACGGAGTTGCACTTTTGAGGAGTTTATGCAGTTTTTCTAAATCATGCATAATTCACTCTAAGTACACACAGTAATGACGATCTTGTTTTCACTTGCATTAATTTCAGGTATTTTTCTTAAAGGTATTTCTCTCTAATACACAAAATGTTTATTTAAGCAATAATTATTCTATGTAATAATTAACTTCTTTTTATATTAAAAAACTAATATAAAAATACAGAAGATAAATATAAAATGTTAATACAATGTTCATAGAAAGTTTTTCAAAATTCATAAAACGTTTAGGATGTAAATTGTCACTGACGATGCAACAGGAAATTGAAGTATTATTTTAAATGTGATTCAATGAGCTTTCATCGGTTAAGATATATGTCAAAATATGCAAAGGTGATAGTGATTATCAATAATAGAACATGTTCTATAATATTACACTATCACAAGCCAAAAGATAAAGGACAGTATTTGTTATTATTAGCAAACAATAATATTATCAATAATAGAACATGTTCTATAATATTAAAAGGACAGTATTTGTTATTATTAGCAAACAATAATATCTTTTGGCTTTATTTTTAAACGAATCATTAAAATATCACCGAGTATGAAACTACATTATTATTTTTCTCTCATGTTACAAACATATACATTGTGATTTGTGGGTATCAGATTGTTGCTAATAATGTATGACAACAGCCTCACTCAATATTAAGGATTTAATCACTGTAAATTACATTTTTAACCTGAATGTAGGGAAAGCTACTCACTATTGAGTCTGCCTGTGTCCTTCTGGCATTTAGTATTCCACTATTCAATGTGGTCATATCAGTAATTAACAAGTTTGTGGGTAAAAACTCTCACATATGAATGTGTCTTCTGTAAATTTGGGATTGGTCATGTGGCCAGCATGCATTTTCTGTCCCATGTCCAGGCAGTGCTTTTTACACGTACTGCACAATCATAGTACTCCTCTTTCTTTCATTGCTGTGTTATAGTAATGCCCATATCCATAGAAGTATTAACATATTTATAATACTTATTAGCAGACTTTTATAATAATTCCTTTAGTGATTATCTATGTGTAATGATAAATGTATTAAGTCATCTATTGTCAGATTGCCTTAGTGATAAACACCTATCTGTCAAAGAAGATACATTTGATAACAAATGTGAGCTCACCTGATGCTAAAGTGCTGGTTTGTTCTGAGGGCAAGCTACTTTCACTCCAACCAAACCTGTTTTTAGCAGCCATGCGGAAATGGTATATGGTTGATGAAGAGAGGTCACGAACAACATAAAATTCGTGATCTATTTTATCAGATACTTTGGTCCACGTACTTTCATCTAGGTATAAAAAATAATTATATATTTGAATGCATATTTAACAAACAACACTTTAACTGTGTTTGATATAATTACTGTAAGTTATAATTTTCCTATATTGAAAATGTATTTCCAATAGGTACATACTTCCTTTCACATACATAGCTATTCTCGTTTAGTGCTGCCCTCTATATGTAAAAAAAAACAACGTTTTTATGCATGTCACAAGCCTTTTATCTCCCCCTTCATTGGAACTGACTGATTTCAATGTGTCTCTCATGCAAATCATCATGCGTCGCGTCAACCCTCCACAAATAAGAGTGCAACATACTCTATTAAATTCTGTCAAACTATCACTTTGAGTTTTGGCAGAAGATGGAAGCACTGGTTCTCAGTGAGGAGGAAGGTTGGGAAGTGTGAGCAGAAGTAAGTACCTATTGGAAATACATTTTCAGTATAAGAAAATTATAACTTCCAATACGGTACATTACCTCCTCTCACATAAATAGCTAGAATCTCACACTGAATTGGTAGAGCGACTGGTGGGAGGGGAAAAAAGTAGCATACTTTGAAAGCATCCAAAGGACACACCCTAAGACTAGAGAGTCAGATTCGAAGATCTAATGTGGGGGATCACACAACTTCTGAACCAGGTATACTCTTTGCCCATCATAGAAAAATGTCGCACATATGGGCAAAAAACAGAGGAGCACATCCAAGTGGGAGAGAACTAAGGTCAGATAGTGATCCGAACAATATACTATTTATGCAACTCTATCCCAGAATATATAAAAGTGGGTAAAATTAAAAGGATGTGTCCTAGGTGTAGAGTGGTTAGGGCTTCATGGACTGTATAAAGGAAGTCAACTACATCCAAAACCACTAAGAACTGACATCCACATTGGGGTAGGATGAGGATCACACCATCAGTAAGTCAACTACAATCCAAAACCCAGCCATTGGGGACTGACATCCATGTGGGGGTAGGATAGAGGATCATACCGGAGGCAAGTCAACTACAACCCAAAATGTGTCCACTGGATACTGACCTCCCTGTGGGGGTAGGAAAGAGGATCATACAATTGGCAAGTCGATTACAATCTAAAACCCATGCCATTGGGAACTGACATCCATGTGGGGGTAGGATAGAGGATCATACCGGAGGCAAGTCAACTACAACCCAAAATGTGTCCACTGGATACTGACCTCCATGTGGGGGTAGGAAAGAGGATCATACAATTGGCAAGTCGATTACAATCTAAAACCCATGCCATTGGGAACCGACATCTATGTAGGGGTAGGAAAGAAGGTGGCAAGTCAAGTACAATCCAAAACTCAGCCACCTGGTGAGTGTAGGAAAGAGGATCATGCCATCTTCACCTCAAGTTCATGAGGCCAGAGGGAATCAAGAACCCTGAGACCTATGAATGAGACACATGTTAATATAAGAAATTGATAGATCGATCCTGGAACCCGACATCTGGTATCAAAAAGATGTCTGCATAATATAAACCATCTCTGAAACTGCACCAAGCACAGTGACATCCTTGAAATAATAAGCATCAAGGGATAGCGGAAGGGAAAATATTGTAAAAATCTGCAAATACCTCCATTGTGATCCACAGCAAGGATGGAGTAACAAGAGTATAATTGAGAGAAAAATATAGACATCCGTTAGAAATGTGGGAGGACTTATGTTGATTGGAAACTAACATCCACGTGGGAGTAGGATGAGGGATCCAAATCAGAGGTGTACTGCAATTTTTGAGAGTTAATTCCCATTTATATTTGTTTCATAATGCAGGATATCATGTCATCTACACCAGCAGAACACCACTGTTCTAATCTCAACTGAATGGTCGTATAATCATTTCTATATGTTATTTGTATTTTGTATTTCATTAACCCATTCAGGAGGATGCTTTCATGATCCACCATCCCAGCAGCTTGGAACTGGAAAGTGGTAAAACTCCCCAACTCCACTAGAAGAAAAGGGGGTTAAATGTGATGGAGTGTTCGGAGAAACGACAACACCTCAGACAGTGCAATGGGTGACAACAAAATGTTAGTTTTAAAAGCAGACAATACTGAGTTATTCAATACAAGGCATGGCAGGGATGGGAAAGCTATCCCTTTCTGCTTTACCCATGTAGTCCATGGGTGAGTATGGTCTGGGACAGGAAAATGTTTTTGCTAAAAATTCCCTCGAAAAGATAAACCCACAAACGATCTTGTGAAACACCTCATCTCTGCAGTGTGTGTTGCGTGGTCATGGAAATATAATATGTAACTCGACATGGCTGTACATTGCAGATTTAATCTGTTAAAAGAAGACCTGGTCAGGCACCACTTGCCACAGAGCAGGATACAAACATTGAGCAATAATAAAAGGGAAAAAGGGCTCATGAAAAGGAAAGAATAAGAAAAAAATAACTTACCCAGTCAAAATCTCACTGAATTCTGAAGAATGGCTACAGGCATAAGATGATAGCCCGAAGAGGAAGAAACTGTGATTCAATGCAAATAGTGAGATGAAAAATGAATTATGGGTAGTCCACATGCCTGAGTGAAGAAGGGTCTTCAAGGGACAACGAAGATGAAAGGCCAATGAAAAGGTAAGGTGTAAAATTAAATGAGGAGACACTCAGAACAAAATATGGGAGGAAGACGATAAAGAGGAATAAGCTCATTGAATGAAGCGCGGAACCCAATGGCAAAATAGAAGGAGAAAGAGGCAAAAACGGGCACCAAGTAATGAAGCCGTGCAGGCAATATAACAGAGAAGAGTACACACATAGAAGTCTATCCAGATCAGGCTGAGGATAAAGGTGGGAAACAGAAGGAACAGAAAGTGGCTGAATGGAGCAGGTATCCTCAGTAGCTACTGCAGAGTTAGGGAGGAAAAGAGGTTCCAAAGAAAGGAGAAGACATGCAGAAGGATAAAGAGTGTGTGAAACATCAATGGCAAATATACAGACCACCGACATTCACAAGCGAATAGAAGAAGGAAGGAAGATGTAAGGGAAAGGTGAAACCAGAAGCACTGGGAGATTGGTTCGATTGTAGGGAAAGTGAGGCAGTGCAGGACAACATGAATATCCCCATCCAGAAGGGCAGCTCACCACAGTAGATGACAAATCCGGAAGGAACATATCAACAGGTAAAGAGTAGGAGAGGTAAACACCTGCAGTATCAAGAAAATTAAAAGAAGTGGGACAGGGCTGCTTGAAAATTCGAAATCAAGGAGACAGAAGACCTCTGATCTAAATGTCAAATGAGGAAATCCGCATGACGAATTGATCAGGAGAAAAACTGTGGACCCAGAAACAAATGATGGAAAACATTCCATTTGCTTTGAGAAACTTCCATGAAGGAAGTGCGAATGAAACAAGCCAGAAAGAAGCTAACTGTTGGAAGAAGCCGGATCTCCTCGCCAATGACCAGAGAAAGACCGGTGTAACAACTTTGCTAAAAAACTCCGAAAAAATTAAGACATTTGACCAGGAACAGCTATAAATTTTGAACATCAGTGGATTCTCATCGGACGTTAGTATCTTTCTGAAAATATTATTGGATTCTTATCGGACATTATTAGTTTTACGAAAACATTATCTACTTCAACGGACCAACAATTTGGTGTGATGACCAATGAGACAAAGCTAGCTAGCTTCCTGGCAATTGTATGTACATCGACTTGAAGTTAACTCGCTAGATATCAAGGGAATTCCAATCTAGAAGGAAGATTTGTATATTGTCTGTAAGTTAGTGAAATTTTTGTTTATAAACTTTGTTTGTAATAATTGTTATTGTAAATTGTACTGTTGTGTATATATTAAAACTTATTTGTGTTAAAAACGAAAATGGTGTGTATCAATCCTGTTGGCAAATATCGCAAGTTAACTAAAATATCAGCATATATCTAGATACTAAATCCAGAATACGATTTAACTGTCAAACTTAAATTATTTAACTTGGCTTTGGACAATTTCAAATTCTCAATACTTAGCATAAATTGGGGGCTCATCCAGGATCTGAATCAGTGACAAAATTCGATCTAAATTATAATTTAGATCATATTTGAATTTATATTTATCAGTACCAACAATATTTGATCATGTTGGATCATCAAGATTTGCTTGTATCACCTTCCCTAAAACAACTAGAAAATATAACAAAAATGAATTGCTTGAAATTGCCAAAGTTTTAGAACTGGAAGTTAAAAGGTCAATGAGAAAAAATGAACTAAAAAAAGTGTATTATCGAAATACTAGTCGATGATGATTTGTTGCCTAAAGAAGCATTAGGGTAATACTCTAGTGTCCCTATTAGCCAACCAGGGTTAAGTGATAAGAATAAATTAGAAATTCAGCTAAAACTCAAACAAATCGAGCTTGAAGAAGCTCGTATTGAAGCTGAAAGAGAAAATAAATGCCTCGAGGTTGAACAAACTCGTATTGAAGCCGAGAAAGAACAAACTCATATTGAACCCGAGAAAGAGAAAGAACAAGCTCGTATTGAAGCCGAAAAAGAAATTAAGCTGAAAGAAATGAAAATTAGACTTAATTGTGATCGACCAAGGCAAAATAACAATTATGAACTTAATTGATACGTTAAGTACCACCGTTCAATGAAAATGAAGTACATAAATATTTCTAACATTTTGAGAAGGTTGCCCAAACCATGAAATGGCCCACCGAAAAATGGTCATTATCTTTACAATGTGTCTTAACTAGTAAAGCACAAGACGCTTATGCCACTCTCTCTTTAAAAGATTGTATGAATTATGATAAGCTTAAAGCAGCTATTCTCCAAGCATACGAGTTAGTACCGGAGGCTTATCACCAAAAGTTTAGAGGTTATTGCAAACAGGATAATCAAACTTATATGGAATTTGCCCACGAAAAAGAAGTTTATTTTGATCGATGATGTAATTCAATGCATACTGGCGATAGTTTTGACAAACTAAGACAATTATGTCTAATTGAGAAATTTAAGCGTTGTACATGTGACGACCTCAAATCTTACTTTGATAAAAAAAGTGGAAGCATTACAGGAAGCAGCCACTCTTTCCGATGACTATGCTTTAACACATAAAACCACTTTTCATATAAAGAAATTCCTACCATTTCTACAAAAACCTGTATCTGTTCAATCCACTTAGGTTGAGAATTCTTCTAAAAAATCCAGCTCCTCTGCCTCGAAATCTTCATACAGTCGGGCTAAAACTTTGTCAAAACCATCAAGGTCTGTCTGCCATTTTTGTAAAAAACCTGGTCATGTTATGTCTGATTGTTGGTGTTTGAAAAAGAAGAAAGAAAAGGAGGCAACACCCAGTGCATTTGTGTCCACATATGGACATAGTTTCACCAGATCACCCAATGTTGTTGATATGGCCACTGGTATAAAAGCTGATGTAATCAGAAAGGAATTTAGACCTTTTGTGTCTGTTGGTTCTATGACTTTGACAAATAACACTGGCAATTCAATACCCATATGTATTCTACGTGATACTGGGGCAACTCAATCATTGTTGTTAGAAGGTGTTTTGCCATTAGAATCGAGTTTTGCCACTGGCTAGTCTATTATTGCTCAGGATATTGAAGGTGGCTTTGTTAATGTTCCTCTTCATAATATTTATTTAGTATCAGACCTAGTTTTGGGACCAGTTGTGGTTAGGGTAAGACCTACTCTGCCAATTAAGGGTGTATCATTGTTGTTGGAAAACGATTTGGCTTGGGGAAAAGTTGCTGCTGACCCTAAAATGGTTAACGAGCTGATCACTGTTTCACCTAAGGATGATGTGGTAGTTGAGGATAATCTCAATGTGTTTCCCTCGTATTCTGTGACTCGAGCTCAGGCTAAGAAATTAAGCCAAAAACAAATGATAGACATGGATTCAGAGGATTTTATTATAGATTTGTCTCAGACATTTTTTGGATCTCACAGAGATCTTGTAAATGATTGTCTTACTGACAATACCACAGTGAGTGACAAAGATGGACGTGAGGGATCTGATTCACCTAGTGAAGTTCAATTTACTAAAAGTAAACTGACAGCTGAGCAAGAAAAAGACCTGCAGATCTCTTCACTACTTAAATATGGTTACTAAAAATGGTTATTAAATGTGGTTATTATGGTTATTTTTTCAAAAATGGGGTGCTTATGAGAAAATGGAGACCACCAGATGTGCCAGCTTCAGAGGATTGAGCTATCGTTTATCAAATCGTTGTTCCTAAGGCATAATCTTCTCAAATATTGAAAGTTGGCCATCAAATTCCCCTTGGGAGGTCATTTAAGACATGTGACAAAATTATAAGACATTTCTCTTGGCCAAAAATTAGGCAAGACGTTTCTCAGTTTTGTAAAACTTGTCATATCTCTCAGTTGGTCGGAAAACCTAACCAGAAACTTCCTGTTGCTCCTCTGAAACCTATCCCAGCATTCGAAGAACCCTTCAGTCATGTGATTGTTGACTGTGTCGGGCCTTTGCCAAAAACTCGATCAGGGAACCAGTATTTGTTAACTATCATGTGCGCATTCACTCAATTCCCTAAAGCTGTACCTTTGAGAAACATTTCGTCCCAAAAAATTTCTAAGGCTTTGATCAATTTATTTACTTTTGTTGGCTTGTTCAAAGAAATTCAATCTGATCAAGGATCAACTTTTATGTTAGGGTTGTTTCAACAAGTTGTTAATCAGCTTGTTGCTAAACAGATAAAATCTAGTGCATATCATCAAGAATCGCAAGGTGCTCTTGAGAGATTCCGTTCTACCTTGAAGAATATGATGCGGACTTACTGCCTCAATAACGAGAAGGATTGGAATAAGGAGTTAATTTATTATTATTTGCTGTTCGTGAGTCCATTCAAGAGTCGTTAGGGTTTAGCCCGTTTGAGTTGGTGTTTGGCCCTTCATTGCATGGCCCTTTGAAGTTGCTGAAGGAAGAATGGTTGAAAGATGATCCAAAAGAAATGCACTTATTGGATTACGTTTCCAAGTTTCGGTCCAGACTCCTATGTGCTTGTGAATTGGCTTGAGAAGATTTGAAGTCATCCAACGTTAAAATGAAAAATGTTTATGACTGTAAGGCTGAAGAGCATAAGTTCAATCCTGGGGACATGGTCTTGGTATTGTTATCCACTATGGGACATTCACTCAGAGCTAGGTATCATGGTCCCTATGAGGTTGTTCAGAAAGTTAATGATACGGACTATGTTGTAAAAACACCTGATCGTCGAAAGGCTACCCAGCTGTGTCATATTAATATGTTAAAACCCCACCATATACGAAAAGCATCTGAAAATATTTTAACCATTGAGTGTTCTCCTGATACTGATGACAGTTGCTTTGACTCAGACACCCATAAGTTTGATAATATTGGAGAAGAATGCAACATCAAACTGAGTAATTCTGACATTCTGGCCAATCTTGATTCAAAACTTGATCATTTGCCTCCTGAAAAGAAAGATCAACTTGTTAGTCTATTGCATGAATATGAATGTATGTTTCCCGACATTCCTAATCAAACCAACATTGCTGTACATGATGTAAACATAGGTGATGCTTCTCCTCTAACACAACATCCCTATCGGGTGAATCCAATCAAGGCCAAGAAAATGCATAAAGAAATATCTTACATGCTGGAAAACGGTATTATAGAGCCAAGTAAAAGTGACTGGTTTTCACCTTGTGTACTGGTTCCTAAGTCTGATGGCTCATTTAAATTCTGTACAGACTTTTGCAAAGTAAATGCTTTGACAAAGACAGATTTCTACCCATTACAAGAATGGAAGATTGTATTGATAAAATTGGGAAAGCCAGATATATCTCAAAGTGTGACCTACTAAAGGGATACTGGGCTGTCCCTCTTAACTGACAGAGCAAAAGAAATCTCTGCTTTTGTTACTTCTGATGGGTTATACCAGTACAATGTAATGCCTTTTGGGATGAAAAATTCTCAAGCAACTTTTCAGCGAATGATAAATCAATGCCTCAACAATCTTTCAGATGTTGGAATTTATGTTGATGATATTGTGATTTACAGTGACACATGGGAAGAACATTTATGTGTAGTACGTGATGTTTTTGTGAGGCTGAAGAAAGCCAATCTCACTGTAAATCTGGCAAAAAGTGACTTTTGTAAATCCAGAGTTGTTTACTTAGGTCATGTAGTAGGCCATATAGAACCTTGTGAGCTGTAATAAAACTGAAATGAAGTCAAAGACGAGAAGGGTGGGCCCAACTACGATGGGTGTTTAAAAAGAAAAACACCCAAATGGACATGATATTGGATAGGTCACAGTAAGGACTTCTCCAACTTGATTATCCAGCCTACTAAAGTTGCCTCCAGGACCAGCTGATGAGCTAACAGTAGCCAGTCATTTAAAGAAAGAGGAAAGCATAAATCCCAACAAGAAAGAGGTGGCAAATGAGCCTGGGACAAGGTTGCATCACAATCCAGAAGATCCAAACAACAGTGAAACCACATATGTAAATCGATAGCAGAAGATGACAAATGAGCCAAAGTGGAGGTAATAAGAAATCACAGGAAAGTGGGGAAATAGATAAAACATCACATACTTGAGAAAAAAATGTCTTATTAGGCATAGCTGATTCTGCAGGTAGGGTAGTGAAGGACATGGCCAAATCTGGTGATGTAAAAAAGCTATCAATATTTCATCAGCTTGCACAAGGTTCGACTTGTGCAGGAGGATTAGTGGGGCAAATTCAGGAGAAGGAAGCTGACCCATATAATGATCAGTCTCACAACAGATAAATCCAGTGATGGGTCTCCCCTACCTTCATCCTGTGAAATAGTGCTGGAGGTATGATAATCAAAGTGGGAACGTGAATCTTAGAATTCATTGTAGAAATACATACGTAAAAAAAAAGTATTTGATGTAAAATATGCAAGTGTGAAAAAACACAAAACAACTGGGAAATTAAGTTAAAGTAAAAGGTTTCTACAATGTAAGTAAAAAAAAAGTATTTGATGTAAAATATGCAAGTGTGAAAAAACACAAAACAACTGGGAAATTAAGTTAAAGTAAAAGGTTTCTACAATGTAAGTAAAAAAAAAGTATTTGATGTAAAATATGCAAGTGTGAAAAAAAAACAACAACTGGGAAATTAAGTTAAAGTAAAAGGTTTCTACAATGTAAGTAAGAAAAAAAAGTAATGAAGAAATCCAACTTTGGAAATTAAACTATTAAAATCATGAATGCGATTCACATGAAGAGCATCAAAATAAAAAACACCTGAACACAAGTACTGCCAAATGAGAAATGACAGTTTGGGAGAAATGACTAGAGAGTATGAGAGTATGTCGCACTCTTAATAATGGAGAGTTGACACATGATGATTTGCATAAGAGACACATTGGAATCAGTCAATTTCAGTGACGGGGAGATAAAAGGCTTGTGGCATGCATAAAAATATTTTTTGAATATAGTGGGCAGCACTGAATGAGTATAGTTATTTAAGTGAGGAGGTAATGTACCGTACTGGAAAACTTGTTACATATCATCAACATTTGTGAAGCTATCAATAATTTTTGGAACATTTTTACTTCAGAATGTACAAGTAAAGCTTTCTAAAGAAGAAAAGTGCTTAACATTACTGTAAAGATATTGAATACATGTGTTCAAAATAGAATAAATGTATTCTGCACTAATATCTAATATGGAGATATAAAGCTTACCAGGCTGCTTGTATTCCAGACAGTAACACAAAGTTGGAGAATTTCCCTCATTCTTTGGTGGACACCAGACCAAAAGTATCTCTGTATCAGATGACTGCTCCACATCTGGGGCATCTGGTCTACCAGGTACACCTACAGTACGTTCAAGTAGGTCTTTTAGATAATAAAAACCAGTAAGCAGGTACACCTACAGAACGTTCAAGTAGGTCTTTTAGATAATAAAAACCAGTAAGCAGGTACACCTACAGTACGTTCAAGTAGGTCTTTTAGATAATAAAACCAGTAAGCAGGTACACCTACAGTACGTTCAAGTAGGTCTTTTAGATAATAAAACCAGTAAGCAGGTACACCTACAGAACGTTCAAGTAGGTCTTTTAGATAATAAAAACCAGTAAGCAGGTACACCTACAGTACGTTCAAGTAGGTCTTTTAGATAATGAAAACCAGTAAGTCTATTTTAAATGATGGCTTCTTAAAGATTGAAAAGAAAAGTCAATTGAAATGTTTTGGTTTTAGGTGGTCATATTTCATGGGTGCATTGTTTTCAAACCCAAGTTAAGTACAATGGACTGAAGTGGCATTACTATATAATTGTCTGTTATGTATTAGAATAACAACTTGTGAAATTAAATGGACATTTTAAAAAAAAATTCACTTGCATATTAATTATTATTAGTTGTTAAAAGAATTTTAAAGATTTTTGTTTCTTTAGCTGCAATTTACACTGATTTTTCAGATTTTTTTTTTCAGACAACCCGTGACAACAAACTAGACAACCCGTGACCAGTTGGGTCACCCACTATTCAGAGGTTATGAAGAATTCAAGCTAATTTCAATCTTGCACCGAAATGAAGGTTTATTTTGAGATAATTTAATCATATATTTCAATCCATTCATGTTATTCATAATTCAAGTAAAGTTATTTGATTGTTGATCGGGAGTAAAAGTATAGACTATTTCATTTTCCAAAAAAGTGAAGCCAGAGTTTTCAGGTATTGTGATGTTGTGATTTTTTTCTCTTAAGCCTTCTACAAATAAGAAACAGTAACACTTTATTTTTTCTTCGAATTACCTACCATAACCAAGGCACATTATTGATTAATTCATCAAGATCTTGTTTTTGTCATCTTATGCCTTTTAATGAAGACGGGAACATTGACAGAGAAATAGATTTGAACAAAGAAGTTTCATAAAGAGTGCAAATGGTTGTGTGATGTAAAATTACTCATGTTAGAAATTTTCATAAAAGTGACCCAAAAAATAACACTAACTCGGTAACCCGTGGCCCGATGAAGTTTCGTAAAGAGTGCAAATGGTAGTGTGATGTAAAATTACTCATGCTAGAAATTTTCATAAAAGAGACCCAAAAAACGGCACTAACTCGGTAACCCGTGGCCCGATGAAGTTT